CTTCAGACTTCATGGCTCCTGATTTCTTAAAAAAATCTTTCTTTTAAAACTTTTTAGTTCTTTCTTAATTTTCAACAATTCTTTGAATCCTCTCTGCATTTATTCTTTGTTTTCCTTCAGACATTAGATGCCTTAAATACCTGACTTCTCTTTCTCCATATTGTAATTTATTTATTTTTTTTTTAATACTCCCAAGCCCTGCTTTCCCAGAAAGTTGAATAGCTTGTTAGTAGCTTTCTTCACAACTCTTTTCTCCTGTCCTGACAATAGAAAACGATCCACATATTTGTTAACATTAATACCTCCTCGGGAGGTTGTAATTGCTCCAAAGTCTTTTTTTTTTTTTTTTTTTTTTTTTTTTTTTTAGAACTTACCCAAATAGATAGGTGGCCCTGTATAGCCCTGAGGTAAAATTGTCCACCTATATTGTTGCTTCCGCCCCCATTTCAGGGTCTTTCCAGTCAGAGGTGAATATATGTTTGCTCTCAGGGTCTGAGAGCACTCCATTAATAACACTGTTATTCCAGTCTAACAATTTACTAGTTGAATGCCCAATTTAATCATCAAATTCCTTCTCAACAAGTTAGTTCCTGCCTTGGGTACATACAACAATTACCTAGCGATCATTTTATCCCCTAGTCTCAGCTTGGTATCCCCCAAAAGTGGCACTGTTATCCCAACCCCTTCTACCCCCATCACTTTTTAGGGTTTCATTAGTTAATTTAATCCCTGATACTTTACAAGTCAGTAATGACCCCAGTGTATTGGGTTTGATGGCAAGGTTCGGGGGCTGTGAGTGGGGGGGGGGGTAGGAAACTGCAGTGGCAGCCCCCGTGAGAAAAAACCCAGAAGCCTCCCCGTGGCAGGTAAGGGACAATTTCATCCGGCCCCTAAGGGGCTCACTGCTGCCCAGAGCCAAGCCATGAGCAATACAGTCCGTGCCTCTGTGAGAGCACATCCACGAAAACAAACAAACAAAGAAACAAACAAAAGCCTGCTGCTCAACAGCAGTTGGGAGAGCGAGAAACCCCCCCGCAGACACCAAAGTCAGTGCCGAAGGAGGGGGGAGGAGGCGCTCCAGGCGCTGGAGCCGAAGCCCCCCTGCGGCTGCTGGAGAGGCCCCTGGTGGAGCAGGCTGTTCCCCCCTCCCCGATCCTTGGGAAGCTGACCAAACACCACAGCAAATATACCAAAACTTCTAGACTGTTACTTAGATAATGCCTACATCACCTTTCCCTGCTCATTCAATTTCAAACAGCTCTGTTAAATATTACATGCCACACCTTTAACACCTTCAGCAACCCTTTTAACACTTCCTTTATCTTTCTCCAGCCTGTACTTTTCTAATACCAGCACCAAAGGCTCAGTCAGGGTCCAACTTAATTCCATACCTTTTCCCTCCAAGATACTGAAACAACATATCAATATAGTATATTTCATGCCATTTTCCTTCTTTCTTCCTTCTCCCACTCCAGATATTCCTATTCGAAGTGGCCAGCCTGGCCACACTTAAAACATCTTATCAAAGCCTGTCCCTGCTAGGACTCAGGCCACAACACAGGCAGCCTTCTTTGCCTGCCATTCCTTCATCTCTCTTCCTCTCCTTTCCATCCTGGCCCTGACTCCCCCTGAAGATTTTTCCTCTTTCTCCAACCCTCTGCCTCACTACCCGCTGCACCACTGTCAATACCATTAGTTTCACTCTCTCTCTTTTTTTTTTTTTTCCTTCTTATCTCCCCTCCAGACACACACCTCCAGGGCCTCCCGCAGGAGGGTCCCCCAGTCAGTTCACTACATCCCCCCACCTTCTGAAGCATTTTCTGCGTATTTTGCCAGGCTTTAATCACACAATGAACTTTCAAGAGCCCTTGGGATACTGGGTCCTCAGGTCTCATCCCCAAGTACTTTCTCATTCTGACCCCAAGTCTCTCATATGATTTCTGTGTTGCACACTATTATTATTCCAGCCAGGATCGGCAAGTGGGTATTTCTGCCCTGCCGGTATTACCCCTGGTCCTGGAGGATGAGCTCTTTCCCATTCTTGTATAGCAGCTCTCCTCCTGATCATTCCCATTTCTTTCCCTGTAAACAACATACTTACAGACATAATTCCCTCCCCCAAGAGTATAAATCAGGTCGTAGGAACTGGTCTAATTGTTCAACTAGGCTGTTGGGGTCCTCGAATAAAGACTTCCTCTCCTTCTTAAAAGTCCTAACCTCTCTGCTGGTAAGGAGGAGGGGGTAGTTCACCTAAGAGGATACATTGTTAGTGTTAGTACTGTTAGTATCAGGGAAGGCAAAATTCTCAATATCTCTTCTACCTTGTTCTAATTCTTGCCAGAGCCTAGAGTACGATCCTTCTTTAGGGACAAGTGTTAATTACAGTCCCTGTCTCCCTTCCCGGAGTGACTGCTGCTGCCACCAGTTCAATATTAAGATTATAGGGAGCATAACTTGGCTCCTTCTCTAAAAAAAGGAATCTTCTTGTTTACACATAAATTTAAAGCCTGAATTTTCATCAGACCCGTATTTTGGCCAAAATACTGCTGTTTCCTTAATTGGTTCTTTTGTCCAGACTGATACACAATATTTAACCTTTTTTTTTTTTTAATTATTTTTCTTTTACAATCCCTCTAATTTTGGGATTATGTTTCCAATCTCTTATAATTCTTCAGGAAGAACTATTAGTAGGCACTCCCCCAGGGATATCTCCCTGTCCCCTGGAACTCATATTTTCCCATTTTTCCTAACCCTCGCCAGTATGTGCTACAGAAATTTCCCTTCTGCAGTGTACCACACACCAACGTACTGAAAAATGGGGGTGTACCGCCAAGCACTTCCCCGTGCCAGCGTTACCGCACACCTATGAGTTTACCAGATTCCCTGGAACTCGTACTTCCCATCTTTCCTAACCCTCGCCAGTATGTGCTACAGAAATTTCCCTTCTGCAGTGTACCACACACCAACGTACTGAAAGATGGGGGTGTACCGCCAAGCACTTCCCCGTGCCAGCGTTACCGCACACCTGAGTTTACCAGATTCCCTGGTGTACTTCCAAGCACTTCCCCGTGCAAGGATTACCGTACACCAGATTCCCCTGGTGTAGTGCCAGCACTTCCCCGTGCAAGGGCTTACCATACACCAGATACCCGACCCCCAAGGCAATACTTAATATTTCTTACCTTGGTCTGTGCACAGAGTTACCGGATCGATTCTTAAAAACCCGGAGTGCCTACCTTCTTCCTTTCCCCACTACTTCACGGATCCTGCCTCTTTAACCAGTCTCGGGCCCTCTGTCAGCTTTCCGCAGAACCGCCACCGTCGATGCACAGGACCGCTGAAATCAGCGGGGCATGCCTTCCTGCTGCTGCGGCGGTGGGGCTCCCCAGTAGGTGACTGGATCCCGGACGAGCCCCCAAATTGTGAGAAACACTCCGTAGCCAATAACTTAGGCTCAGGCGAGGATCTCAGTGAAGTAGTAATTTATTCGCGATTGCAATGGCGGGCGCCCCACAAGCAGGAGAGAGCGCATCTACTAGTTCCAAAACACAGTTTATATACCTTTTGATGGCAGGACCCTCCCCTGTTTCCCCACTGAGTGGGTAATCCAGGTTCACAATCTATCTGATGCTTCACAAACAATGCATAGTCTTCAGTTGCCGGCCTGTTAAATTTCAAATTTCTTTTGACATTTTTACTGTTTGAAGTGGTAATGTTTCTTCACTTATCTGACTTGACTTGACACCGTGATTTTCACCTAATTGTCCTAAGGAGACTGGTTGTCTGCATTTTACAAGGTCACCTGCTAAACTTTCTTATCACTGTAAGCATATCTCAGTACCACATTCCCTCCTTCTAAACAATGTAACTCTGCAAAAACAACATTTCTATTCCCACACCAGGCTGTCCCCGTGCCTGTGGCAGTGTGCCGCTCTGTCAAGCCACGAGGAGCATGGCAGGAGCATCCAGCCCTATTGCTTCTGCCATGAAATGGCCGCCTTTCTGCCCCTGCCGGGCTTCTCGTGCATTGGACACCACAAAGGAAAGGGAAGACGAGGTGCTGATGCACAGGGAGCGAGCAATGCAACAGCGGGGCTGGGCAGGGGGGCCCCGGGCACACCGGCCACGTCCCCCCCTCAGCCCCGGCCCGCCCAGCACCCCTAAGATGGCGGCGCCCGCCCCGCCTGCTCAGGGGGGGGGGGGGGTCGCAGGGTTGCTATGGCAGCGAGCCCCAGCCAGCCGGCAGAGGGTGGGGCTCCCTTTGCCTGGCGGCTCCGGCAGCCAATCGGAGCCCAGCCTGGGGAGAGGCGAGCCCTGAGGGAGGAGCGGGAGGGAGGAGGGGAAGCGCTTGGGCCTGGCTGTGACTGGGAGATCGGGCTGACGGGACCAAGGCTTTGTTCCTCAGCCCTTCTTGGGAAAAGAGTTCGTCTGCTTCGTGCTAACGTGCAACACTGCTAGGGCCTCACGATGAAACGTGGCCTTCTGTCTTACATACCCGTGGGTAAGCACAAGGCCAAGAGAAACAGAGTGCTTATCTTGCAAAAGAACGGTGTTGAGAAGAGGGGAAGGTTTTCTTGAGATAACTGCTGACTATTGCACGACACACAACTTTCTGACATTCGGCCCAGAGCCTACTAAATCAGGAGAGGGGGGAAGCTGAAGAACGACTGAAGGACAAAGCCTGGGAGGAAGACTACGAGCCTTCAGTACGGGTGACCCCCAGAGGGACCACTGGCAGTAATCCTCCTGGTGTTGCACGGGACATGGCATCCCTCTTCCGTCACGTTCACGCATGGGGTTTGTTGTCAAGCTTCCCGCAACACCAGAAAAGGTAGCCTAAATTCCCCTCCACATGCAGGCAGTTCTCTCTGAGGGGAATCGCGGCAGCACGGGCACAAGAAGCACAACCGCAGTGCCCCTCCTCGCCAGGTGAAGACACTCGTAGCTGAAAGTCAGCATGAGTTAACCAGGACCCAGTCTCTTCAGGATTTAGCCCCGACTGGATGCTGAGCGTGGAGACCCGACCGCGCATGTTCCAAAGGAGGAGGTGGGAAGCCAAGGGCTGCGGAGGAAATGCACTCACCTTGGGAACATCTGGATCGCACGAGCGGTGGTCTCTCCACTCAAGGCAGTCGGGTGTGCCGGCCACATTCTCTGCAAAGAGACACAGACCTGCTGGAGGGTTTCGGAGGCACTTTTCTCAGGGCTCTCATTGACAGGAAGCAAACCTGTCTCCCAAGCCAAAAGAAAGCCTTCTCTCCAAAACCCTCCTCCAAAGCCTCTTCCATCCACCTTTGCTCTGCTCTGGAGGAGCATGGCAGAATATTGAGGCTGTACAGTAACGCTGCCAGGCCTTTTGCAGCGGCCAGCATCCAGACGCTCAGAAGAGCTAATGGAGAAAGCAGCTAATGGGGCAGGCGTGGGGAAAGGCATCTGACTGGCCTGCCGTGTCCAGGCTGGCCAACAGCGGTCGGATTGATCACCCTTCCACAGGATTCCCAAAGAAATTGAAGTAGCCCTCAAAACATCACCAGCTTACACTGTGGAGCATTGCAACGAGGTCTGCAGCGCTCTCCAGATGTTTAACACAGTCTGGATAAAACTTCATGCACAGGAAACCATCTTCACAGGTCAAAACACCGATGTCCCTGAAGGCAAAGGGGACGTGCTCCTTGTTCTTCAGGAGGCAACAGTACAAGAGGACGGTCTCTTGCACACACTCCTGCACCACGTACAGTGGGAAGGAGGTGGCTCGCGCTAGCTGCAGGTAGTTCAGCTGCTCGACCTTGACGTCATCTGCAAGGAGAAGCAACATCCTCAGTGCCACAGCAAGCCCAAGTTGCTTGCAGCATTCCGAACAAGGTCCTAGAGGAAGGGTCGCTAAGAGAAGCAGCTCCGGGGCCACGGGGTCTTCTGTGGGAACTCAAGCTCCACCCTGACCGTTGGAGACAATCCTCTGCCTCTCCCAGGCCTTTCCAAAGAGCAGGGAGAACAAATCCTTCCGGACATGGGGCAGGACGAGGGGGCTGCTGCCTTCTCACCAGGGAGGATCTCAGGGGGACAGTACATGTCCTCCAGCTACCCCTCATCAATGTCCAGCTGGAAGAACGGTTTGCAAATCAAGAGCCGCTTTTGCTTGACGTGGAATTGCTCTTGGACAATAGCAAAGGTCCCGAGCATCTCCTCAGGTCATCAAAACTCCACCTGAGGCACACAAACTTGGGTCCTGCTGGGCTCGGGGCAATGTGGCAGCCAGGACTCCTGGGTCCTGATGCTAGGGCTGTCCTCAGCCCCAGGGCTCCTCTGGGCATGGCTCAGCCTCCTCGTGATGGGGACAATCCAGGGCCAGGTTTCCCTGGGAGCTGCTGCCTCTTTGGGATCTGGCTCTGGGAGGAAAGACCTCTGGTGTCCCAGAGACTGGTGTGGCCTGCAGCTCCCACAGGCCTCTCAGGAATGTCCCAGGAATGCCCGCATGGTTTTTTTCAGGGGGGCTCGCATATGCCTGCATGTGTCCTCGCCTGGGTGAGGTGCTTGCCAAGAGGTGGTGAGCTGGCTGGCCTGGAGCCTGACCTGGCTTCCTTGCTTTCCAGAGACTGAGGCTATCTGGGATGCTGTATCCAAGCAAATTCTGGAAGCGCTGAAGCGGGATAAGGTGGGCTGGTGTCCTGGGCCCTGCAGAGCAATCCCTACCCGAGCACTGAGACTGCCCAGGGTGCCCGGAGCAGCTTGCTGGCTAGCTGGGAGAGAAACCAAGGCCAGATCTGCTCTGCTTCTCAGGGGTTTGGCACACCCTAGGGCTTCACTCTTCCCTGCGGCCTGGGTGGAGAGGGCGAGCATAGAGATGGGGGAATATCCTGGGTCCGTGCCTAGGATAATCGATGTCAAGGTCGAGCAGCTGAACTACCTGCAGCTAGCGCGAGCCACCTCCTTCCCACTGTACATGGTGCAGGAGTGTGTGCAAGAGACCATCGTCTTCCACACAGGAGAGATGTCCCCTTTGGACCCACCAGGCGCAGGGACTCAGAAAGGCTCCTGACACCCGTCCCGGAGGAGGCCGCTCTCTCCACGCATGGCAAGCGTGCAGCACGTTTGCCTGAGACTGGCACGCCAGCTTCATTTTCCACCAGGGCCCTGATCCTTGGGGGAGCTGGATGCAGAGCCGTGTTGCAGAAGCTCTTGTCCCTTCAGGAGCCCCCCCACATTGCAAGAGTCCATCTTTTTGTCTGTGGGAGCAAACGTCCCCTGCGGTTTCTTCCAGCTGCCCCGCAGCTTCTTCCAGCCTAAGGAGCTGTGATACCAGATGGAAACGTTTCTTTCCAAACGATATCCCAGACTTCATGGGAGGCACAAGAGAGTGCCGAGGGAGGGAGGTGGCATGCCTGCCCTCCTTGCCTGATGGCGTTCTCCGATGTTGCTGGCTCCCCAGCGATAATCTGCTTTCCACCCATAAGCCCGGCTGGGCCGTATTGGTGTCTCTAGGATCCTGTCCTTGCACAAGACACTGCTCCTCTCCTTCTGCCACCACAAAGGGCCTGGATACGGGCATCGCGAGCCTTCCTGAAGGCAGCTGGTGCCACTGCTTCGCGGTTGGCTCTCTCCGTGTCTGCTGAAGCGAACGCGGCCAGTCCAACACCCATTCGCTGCGGAACTGCCGTCTGCTGCAGAGGCTGACGCAGCTTGCGAGCGCGGACTGGAGACCGAATTCCCCTGGGCTCATGCAGCCTCCCGGTGTCTGTTTGCAGTGTGCTCCCCCCGTGTCCAGGCAGCTCCCCCAGGACAAAGAAGACAGACAGGCAGGAAGCAGCTCCTCAAGCCAAGTCAGCCAAGTCCACCAGCACTGCGCTCCCTACTCCCGAAGCCTCTCGGAGATTGGTGCAGGTACCTGCTCTGCCTTGCTGCAATGACCACGTGGTTTGGGACTGTACTAAAGCCTCTTTGTGTGGAGCGATCCCAAGCCGGACCCTTGGGATGCGTTCATTTTCACACTTGTTACCTCCTTCTTCTCTTCCTCGGGAGATGGAAGGTGGTGTCCCGCACACCTTCCCTGCCTCTTGCTGCCTCCCGTGTTGCCATGAGCCGCTTCATTTGGACCAGGGGCAATGGAAAAGGAATGAGGGCTTTCTGGGTCTTTGATGGCAGAGGTCTTTGCTCCAACAGCTGAGACCAATCCTGTCTGCCGTTGTGTTTTTTGTTTGTTTTCCTCCAGGAGGTCTGGAACCTGTCCTCGCAGTGGGACCAAACAAAGAGCTCATGGCCCTTGTACCAAAAGCGAATACAGCAAGCCCGGGCAGAAATGGCTGCTTGGGGAGCCTGGTCTCAGGGGGAGGACCGAGAGACACCTCAGGTACTGGCCGTGACCAACACCGCTGAGAAGAGCAGCGATCCTCCCCGCCAGGGCTCCGAGGGGGGCAGGTCCCAGGGTGGTGGGAGCAGGACGGGCACCAGGGCGCAGGGCAGGGCTTTGCCTGCTCCTCCCTGTGAGGGAGAGGCTGTCAGCAGAAAGCGAGGGATCAAAGCAGCAGCCAGACGTGGGCCGGCAGTGCCGAGTCGCCTGCTTCCCAGGTCCTGCTGCAGGGTCCTTTCAAGAGGTCCTCTGGGAAACAGCAGCCGTGTGTCCAGTCCTGTCTGATGAGAGCGTCTTCTCCTTGCATCAGGTCACCAGGCAACATGATTGGATTCCCCATCCCCCAGCCCAGCCCAGGAGCAAGGAGGTCGTGAGGAGGTGGAGGAAGGTTCAGATCCCTGCCGCAGAAGAGGAGTGGAGAGCGGCAGCCAAGCTGGAGAGCCTCCAGCCTGAGTAAGTGTGTGCTGGCTGCGTTCACGTGCTGGGGCACTCGAGTAGCTGCTGAGCGATGTCAAGAGATGTCCAGCAGCCCGGTCCCTGAGTCCTGGGCTTGCCTATGACACCCTTTGCTTTCTCCTAAAGCGGGCATGACCTTGGTTACCGCCAAGGCCTAAAACTCATCACAGGGCGGAAGGGTGGGTGCACGTGGCACCGCGTGGGTGCAGGGTCTGGATGAGGGGAGAGGCAGAAGGGGTGTCTGGCAGAGGCTGAGGGATCCCTTTGTCCTGGTGTTGCAGCCACCTTTCCCCACGAGCACTGCAAGTTTTGAAAAGGTCGGAGCCGCATCGCAGTCAACAAAGGGTGTTCAGAAGTGCTGCGGAGGAAAAGCGGCTGCGGCAAGAGCAGCAGCGGCTCCCCTGGTAAGTATCTCCAGAAAGGGATGGTGCTTCCCGCTGCTGCAAGGCCCGTCCTTCCCGTGGGGGCAGCACTGGGACAGAGAGGGCATTCCGGGGCCCTCCGCTCCCCCTGCCTCAGCCCCAGGCTGATGAGCTTGGGCACTAGGCATCTGTCGCAGCTGACGGCAACCTTGAAGCTTCATGGGAAGCAGACCCCTACGTGCACGGCCCGAGCTAAGCCTGCAGTACTTCTCTGCGTTCAGCCTGTACACAACCTGATCATCCTCTTTTCTTTCTGACTCCCTAGCGCTAGATGCTGGTACCGCAACGGAGGGGAAGGTGCTGGGAATGCTGAAGGCAGCAGCGGAGCTCTGAGCAAAGGGGCTGGGAAGCTCTCCCGCTTTCCACCCCTGAATGGAAAATAAAGAGCACAGCCAGACTGCTTGTGTCGCTTCATCCGCCGTAGCAAAGCACTGCCCTGATTCACACCACCATCTCCATTAGGCACACGGGCACATCCCAAGGATGCCCAGGCTTCTCCGTGCAGCACACAGGCATCTCCCTGGAGCACCCAGCTATCTCCCCAGACCACCAGTCTTGCTAGCAGGACCTCGGCACAAGTCCTCTGATCAAGCCGTCTCTTCCAAGGAGCGTTCTGGCAACTCCCTGGAGAAGCCAAACATGTTCCTGGGGAAAGTAAAAGTCTCCCCTGGGAATACAAGCATCTTCCTGAAGCACCCTCCATGGCACCCAAGTATCTCCCCAGGGAATATAGGCACCTCTTGAAATCAGAAATACTTCCTGCAGGACACATGAGCATTGAGCTGGAGTAGACAAGCATCTCCCCAGGACACCTAAGCACTACCTTTTCCCTCTCAGGCATCTTCTGAGGGCATTCCAGCACCTCACAGGAGATCCCAACTCTAGGTGGGTTCACCTGACAATTTCCGCTGTGAACCCATCTCCTGCTGATGCTCTAAGACATCGCCCAAAGGCATACAAGCATTTCTTGGAGGAACCCAGGAACCTCTATAGAGAACCCAAGCACCTCCTTGGAAGAATGAAACACCTCCCTGGGGAACAGTAGAATAACCCCATGGGTGCCCAAGCACCTGCATAGGTCTCCCCAGAAGATCTTTCAAGAACCAAGGAATTCCCTCCATTGATGAAGCACCTCTATGAAGAAATCCTATCCTGCCCCGGGTCAGAGAAACACCTCCCTGGGTAAATCACGCAACGTCCTGGAGGAGCAAAGGATCTTCTTGGGTGTACAAGCATTTTCCCGTGGTAGGCAAGCACCTCCCTGGGGACAACCAGCACCTGCCTCTGGGTCACTCATCCCCTTCCCTGTGGAACACGAGCATCTTGTCGGGACAACCAAGAACCTCCCTAAAGCACTGAACAACACACTTAGTGCAGTCCAGCAACTCCCTGGAGCACACAACCTGCTCTCTGCTGGACCCAGGCAACTCCGGAGGTTCCAAGTGACCCCAGAGGAATCAAGCACCTTCCTAGAGAGCCCAAGGATATTCCCAGGGCACACAAGCACCTCCCTGGGGCACATAAGCATATCCCAGGGGCAGAAGAAAAGCCTCCCTGGAGCACACAAACCTCTGCCCTCCTAACAAAAGTTTCTGCCCCTGCCATACAACTCCTGCAGCACAGAAGCACCTCCCTGGAACACCCAAGCACCTCACTGGAGCACCCAAGAATCTCCCCACCGCACTCCTACATCTGAGTGGAGAACCCGAGCATCTCCTCGGGTCATCAAAACACCACCTGGGGCACACAAACTTGCTGTCACCCCTTGGATTTTTCAGAAGTGATAAACTTTTCCTCTCTCTCCAGAAATGACTCTCGGTCTGTCCCATGACAGACCTGTCATGGGACAGACCGAGAGTCATTTCTGGAGCTTGAAGAGCTCGAGTTCCCCCAGAAGACCCCGTGGCCCCGGAGCTGTTTGTCTTAGCGACCCTTCCTCTAGGCCCTTGTTCGGAATGCTGCAAGCAACTTGGGCTTGCTGTGGCACTGAGGATGTTGCTTCTCCTTGCAGATGACGTCAAGGTCGAGCAGCTGAACTACCTGCAGCTAGCGCGAGCCACCTCCTTCCTGTTATATGTTGCCCCCTTAATTAATTTTCAGAGAGCATTGCATTAATAATAGAAAGGAATTTATAGAGTAAGCAACAGCAAGCAAAACAGCGCTGGGCAGCCAGGGCGTCTTGGCTCCGCCAACGGCGCGCACCTCACCCCCGCCAGGGTCCCTTTTTATATCTTGATAATTCCAGGATTACGCAGCACGTCCTGGTATATTCTGCGACTGCGCGCACTGTTGCTAGGGGGTCGTCTCTGTCCCTCTGGTGGTCGTGAAGATGAAGGCCGTAGTCTTCCTTGGCGTTGTGGTTCAACTTCTTTTTTTATTTGGTCTTGTTGGCCCAGCGTGAGACAGGAAGGCAGGATGCTGATACGCTAGGTTAGCAACTTATCAGGAGATGGTTACATGAGCTTTGCAGCAGGGTCTTTGAACAAAAGAGGCAACTGAGATGCAGAAGGAGAGAAGGGGAGGGGGTTCTCTTTTTTGTTACATTAGGCAAAAGAATTTTCATAGTGTCTAGCCAAGTATTATACAGCTCCTTACCTCAGCAGGGAGCTTTCGCAACTCCCGCTCCTCAAACAGAACTCCTTGTTTTTATATCACGAAAGACAATGAACAAACATTTATCGTGTATTACACTTCCCAGCTCAAACTGGGACCCCCAGCCCCTTCCCATTATGAACTGGGACCCTTAACCCCTTCCCAGTATGAATTGGGCCCACCCCAGTACAAACTGGGACCCCCATACCCTTCCCAGTATGAACTGGGCCCATTCCACTGCAAACTGGGAACTTTCCCAGTACAAACCAGGGCTCCCAGCTCCAACCCAGCTCAAACTGGGATTGTCCCCAGCTCAGACTGGGACCCCCAGCCCTTTCCCAGTATGAACTGGGCTCCCCAGCCTCATCCCAGTACAAACTGGGCCCATTCCCAGTACAAACTGAGACCCTCAGCCTCATCCCAGTACAAACTGGGCCCATTCCCAGTACAAACTGAGACCCTCAGCCCTTTCCCAGTATGAATTGAGCCCATCGCAGTTCGAACTGGGCCCCCCAGCCCCATCCCGGTACAAACTGGGCCCATTCCCAGTACAAACTGGGCGCCTTCCCTTCGCCCCGCCCCCCGTTGCCAGGTAACCGCCACCGCCGTTCCCGCCTATTTTCCCCCCGTTGCCATGCAGCTTCCGCCATTTTTGTCATCTCCCCCGTTGCCAGGCAACCGCCGCCATTTTGTCCCCTCCCCCCGTTGCCAGGCAACCGACGCCATTTCGTCCTGCCCCGCCGGGCTGCCCGCACTGCGCATGCGCGCTCGCCGGCCTCCCATTGGCTCCCGCCCCGCGGCTTCAAACGGTCCGGCGGGAGCGATGGCGGCGGAGGCTGCGGCCGGTGCGGGGGGGGGGCTTGTAGGGGGGGGGGGGGGGATCCGAGGGGATTTTGGGGAAAGTGGGGGTCTGGGGGGGCTCAGGGGGGTTTGGAGAAGGCGTGCGAGGCTCTGGGGGGCGTCTGGCGGTGAGGGGATGCGGGGTTGTGAGGGGAAAAAGGGGTTGTGAGGGGGCGTTCGGTGAGGGGAGAGGGGCTGTGAGGGGACGTTTTGTGAGGGGAAAAAGGGGCTGTGAGGGGCGTTTTGTGAGGCGATGAGGGGTTAAAGGACACTTCGTGAGGAGAGAGGGGGCTGTGAGGGGATATTTTGTGAGGGGATGAGGGGCTGTGAGGGGGCATTTTGTGAGGGGATGAGGGGTTAAGGGACACTTCGTGAGGGGACAGGGACTGTGAGGGGATATTTTGTGAGGGGATGAGGGGCTGTGAGGGGGCATTTTGTGAGGGGATGAGGGGTTAAGGGACACTTCATGAGGGGACAGGGACTGTGAGGGGGTATTTTGTGAGGGAACAAGGAGCTGAGAGTGGAAAAGGGGCTGTGACATGGCTGACAAGAGAGGCTTCAGGTACAAAGGCCCTGGACCACCCTCCTGGTCTTTCCGTGCCAGCAGGGCACAGCCCAGCTGCCTCCCTCCTGCACCAGCCTGTCTTTGATCTCTGCCACGCGATCCAAAGCCAGCAGTGCCTGTCCTCCCTCTGCACGGTCGCATATCCCAGCTCGACACGGATGTTTCTCTCTACTGGGAAGCTTCCAGCCCAGCTCAGCTGCCCCCCAGCTCTCCCACCTCCCTGCCCTCTCCCCAGCCCAGCCCAGCCCAGTAGCCTAGGCTGGGCTGGTCCCACGGCAGTGCCCATCGCAGGCTGCTGCAGGGCTCTGGGCACTGCCACCACAGCTCCAGTTCCCATTCACTCCTGATCAACTCAGAATGGGTCTCAGACCAACATTTATTTGGTTAAAATACACAGAGATCCTGGCTCCTTGACCACGGAAATCCTGGGTCACACAGAAAGGGTGATACTCGTGCAGGAAGGAATGAAAAAGGGCGTTTTTGTGTAGGCAACAATATCACAAGGGCAGAAAGGAAAATTGAAGAGACAAATGCCATATTGAAAGGCAAGATGGCCTGTCATGAATAATACTTGGAGCCATCTGCAGAAGAAGGCAGACAGTCTGTGGCCACTGATAAACAACTAGTCAGCAGTTTGCATATTGAATCTTTGAGCTCCTGGTTCTTCATGCTGTAGATGAGAGGGTTCAGTGCTGGAGGCATCACTGAGTACAGAACTGCCACCACCAGGCCCAGGGATGGGGAGTAGGTGGAGGGAGGCTTCACGTCGGAAAAAAATCCAGTGCTGACAAAGTAACATGGAATGCCTGCCGCACAGTCATGTGAGGAAGGCACATGTAAAAAGGCTTTTTTTTTTTTTTTCTCTAGGAATTTTTTTTTCTCTAGGAAATATGTCCTTTCACTTCCATGACTTGAGATTCTTTTTGTGAGGTTCAGTTTACCATTACCATCATGGCATTGCCCATTGGCTCAAGAGTTAGAAGTCCTTTCCCAGTGCACTGCGTATATTGGAACATGGTAGGGCAAGTATTTTTTGTTCAGAATTTGACATATGAAATCACTCCTAGCACAGAAGGGACGTTTACATCTGCACTCCGAATGTGAAAAAAAAAAAAAGAAAAAAAAAAGGTGGGTGACAAAAAGGACTTTTAGTTTAGTTTTGCTTTTGCTAGACAGCATCCTCTCCCTCGTGATGCCCAAGCAGTGCTCTCTGAAGTCAGAAATCCTGAGCATTTCTGCTGCACTCACAGTGAATGGCTGTGAGAGCTGGCTGTGGGAGGGACCCCACGCTGGAGCAGGGGCAGAGAGAGACCATGAACTTTCTTAGTTCTCATTTAGTTTCTCACTGCTCCAGTCTACCAGTAGCACTCAATAAATTATGCTCGTCTTCCTAGAGTGAGTCTGCTTTGCCCATGTCTGAAATTGGTAAGGGCTCTGCCTGTTCCTTAAATGTACCCTGAAGCCCTTTTCCACGCTATTTAGTCCATCTGTTCCTTTGATGGGGAGCAGGTCAAAGAACAGTGTGCTGCCCATCAGTGTGCTGGATCTAGGGAGCTTTCAAGATGGAAAAAAAAAACAAACAAAAAAAACAATGACAAGTTAATACTGGCTTCCCAGAGTGAAATCTACTCCATTTCTCCTTGAACCCCTCCCTGCCACACTCCCTCACTTGTCATTCAGCCTCATAAGCTATATTTAATGAGTTTGAATATGATACTGAAGTATTCGGGACCTGTGCATATTGGGTCAGGAGGAAGCAGTCTTGTCCCTGTGCATTGGGTACATCAGAACATGGCAGAGGCTCCAAGTTATATTTTCAGAATTTGTCAGATGAAATCAATGCAGAAGGGCATACGGGGTGGTGTCCTAACAGGCCTAAAGAATGTGGAGGGCTGAGAGGACTTCTAGGAATTTTTGTTTTTTTCCTACACAACCTCATCATGCCCAAGGAACGTCCTCTGAAGTCAGAAGTCCTGAGGATTTCTGCTGCACCCACAGTGAATGGCTGTGAGACCTGAGAGGCAAAGGGATTCCCTTTAGCTCAGAGCAGGGTGAGGGGAGCTGGTTGGGCTTGTGCCCAATGGCCGTGATCTTGCTGCTTTTGGAGATGGATGGCAATCACCTTTATGGTACACTTCAAAGAAATCAGACACTGCTAAGAGCAGAGGAACCCACTGCCAATCTCTCAGTGCGCAGCCTTTCTCAAGGTACCTAAGCAAGGTCTCAGCACCACATGTCTTGCCAAGGACACTTATCATTTATTTCACCAACCCAACAGCATGTCCTCACATGCAGCATATCTCTGCTTCTTCCTGGGGCATTCACATAACACAGAGATACTACGGAAAAGATTTCTATCCTGCAGGGCAGCTCACAACTTGGAAGGACATCCCAGGGAGAAAGACAAGTGTCCTAATGATGGTGTCTCATTAAGGGAAAGTCAGCTCATTCCCCAGCCTCACAGAATGCACTGCCCACAGCCCCAGGCTGCTGTTCTCAGCCCCCCTGCACCACAGAGGGAAATGGGCACGTGGCTGGAGAGATGCACCTCTGCTCTGCTGGAACTGTGGCTGCAGAGGACGTGCTTCATGCCCTGGACACACAGCAGTGACTGCAGGGGCTTTCCTGTGTGGGACAGGAGGCAAGAGGGCTTGCTCAGAGGAAGGGGGCTGCAATGTAGGGAATAATACAGACTTTTCTGAGAAGTTCTCCCTCTGACTACAAATCCGGTTTTTCTTTCTTCTCATTCCCTAACCATATTTCTTCTGCCTGAAGATTTTATAACTGGGGGATGTTTCCATGTCCCATGGTCTTTTCCCCATCTGTGTTCAGAGCCCTCCTGCCAACCTCTTTGCCCTTCAGAAACCAGCAGTTCCCAGAGCACTGCCTAGGTGCATATCCATCTTTGCAGATAGAAAACAGCCTGTCAGAAAGCCCTGACAGGTACAGCAAAGTTGCCAATGAAGCTGGCCATAAACAAAGGAGAGGCTGTAGGCAATTTATAAGCCTTCTTACAAGCCCACTGATCATCAAAGGAACAGTTCAGGAATCTTAGAGATGTGTTGGAACTTGACAGTTCCTTTTCCATTTCTTTCTGCAACCTCACCCAATCCTGCAAGTGCTGGAAAGGGAAAAGGAAGCAGAAAATTCTTTTCTGGATTTTTGTGTGTTTAGTGGATTATTTCTCCAACATATGTCACACCTTTCTGTGACTGACCTAGGAGCCTCCACCATGTTCCTGCATATAAATGAGAGGGGTTTTGCCTCTCGGGGACCAGGGCTTGGGACCAGGGCAGGAAACAGGACGAGGGCTGGGGTCCAGGACCAGGGCTGGGGACCAAGACTGGGGACCAGGGCTAGGAACCATGTCTGGGGACAGGATCAGGGCTGGGGACCAGGGCTGGGGATCAGAACAGGGCTGGCTGTGCAGTGCTGGATGTAGGGCTGGGCCCCAAAACCTCATCTCTTTCCCTGTGCTGCAAAGCAGCTGGACTATGACATGCATTTTGCAGGAGGAGTGTCAAGACACGGGTTTTCCTGTTTGCAAGTCCCAGATCCTGGTGAACATCACCTAGGTTGGTTAACCTAGCAGCTGTGCACAGAAGCTGTCTCCAAGAACCCACAGAAACCTCGGGAATGTTTGCACCCTGCAGTGTCCCTTTTCTGTGACAGTCTGAGTGATTTAAGGCCCCCAGGGTGACACGGGGTCATTAAATTCATCTTAGTCCAGTGGCTTCCATAAGACTGTCTGCTTCTTCAGCCTGACTGCAGGCATTTACCTCTGACCACACTGCCACCCTGACTGGATCTGCTCTGACCCTCACCCACAAGGGCTCCCCCACTCTGCTGCCCATCCCATAGAGGAGCTCCATGCATCCAGACAGATCCTTCACATGGAGGGCAACCCCCTGTTGATCATCCCCGCCTGTCTCTTCTGAAGAATCTGCCCCCATCCAGCACAGCACCCCAAGCTGGGGGACCTGTCCCCCCACACCTCAGCAGCTCTTCCATCAATGTCCCAGCCCTGTGACAGCAGGCGGGGATCCAGCTCCTCCTGCCTGTGCCCCAGGCTGAGGGCATTGGGGCACATCTGGGCTGCAGCAGCTCAGCTGTGGCACAAGGGCCAAACTCAGACTTGTCCCAGACCTTGTGCCAAGAGCCTGGGCATGAAGAGGCTTTCCTTCAGAGCAGAGATTTGCTGCCGTGGATGGTGGATGGGCACAAAAGGATGACAAGGGATCCCAAGAAGGGCAAGGCCTGGTGTTCCTGAGGCCAGAAGGAAACAGGCCTGGGCTGTGCCGCTCTGACAGCAGAGGGCCTTTGTGGTGTTGGTGCAGCCCTGAAGGCCAGTGCTGGAGCTGGGGCTGATCTTCAGGCAGGAGAAGGGGCTGCTGATTTCCCTTGATTTCCCCCATCTCCATTAATGATCCTGGAGCTGAGAAAAGGAGCTCACCTGCAGCTGCCCATGTTATTCACACCTAAACTGAGTGCAGAGGAATCCCAGCTCCCGTGGGTTTGTGGCAGGCATGGGAGGGATCTTTGTCCCATTCCAGCCCCAGGACAAAAAAACAGCATGAGATGTCTTAACTGACTCTGCTGAATCCCTTCCTTAAGCAGGGGGCTAAAGGAGTTACTTTTATGACCATGCCTGGGTGTCCCTTCATCAACTGGGATGAGAAGAGAAGACTGCTACAGATAATTGTTTTTGTGCTAAGAGAAATGAGCCTGCTGTCAAGAAGTGTGTGTGCCCAGGGGAGGGAGGGAAGCCCAGGGATCCCTTCAGGCTGTTTCCCAGCAGGTTCCCCTGCAGCCCCAGGGCCATGTGCAGGGAGCCTGGTGGGGGGCAGAGCAAGGGAGGCCTTGGGCTGGGCCTCTGCTGCTGAGCTGGGCCGGGCTCCTGGGCCCAAGGGGAGCTCCTGGCAAGCGGGCAGCGCTGCAGAGAGACAGCTCTGCCCAGGAGCAGCTCCTCTGCACAGCGCAGCAGGCCTGGGGGCACTGCCTGCAGAGACACAGTGCTTAAAGGCCGGCAGAAGTGGCAGCATGCCCAGAGCTCACCGGGGGAGAAGACTTCGCAGCCCTGCACCCGGTAAGTGTCTGGCTGGAGGGCAATGCAGCCGCAGTTCCTGGAGGCAGGAGAAGCCGGGGGTGCAGGCAGGGGTGTCCAGGGCTGTGGTGCAGAGCAGGGTCCCTGCTGTGGCCCAGGGGCTGTGTGCCGGGGCAGGGCCTCTGCCGCCTGCCAGGCTCAGCACTCAGCCTGCCCGGGGAGCTGCCCAGGGCGCTGCGGGGAGAAGCTGTGGGTGAGCAATTGGCTAACGGGCAGGGCCCAAAGGGTTATGGTAAATGGGGCTGCGTCAGGCTGGCGGGCGGTCACCAGTGGGGTCCCTCAAGGCTCCATTTTAGGGCCGGTACTTTTCAATATTTTTATAAACGGTCTGGATGTAGGAATAGAAGGTATGTTGAGCAAGTTTGCTGATGACACCAAACTTGGAGGAGTTGTGGACCCGAATGCGGGTGGAAAGGCCTTGCAGAGGGATCTGGTTGCTTAAAGCAAGCTCAGATCGAACAATTGTTCCACAGGCACATGTCCACATCCTGTATGCCAATTCCCAGCAATTCTCTTTCTGCAGAAATGTACACTGTTTTACTATTTTATTCATGTTAGAATTATCAGGTGATGAATTATAAAGCTTCACATCAAGCTTATTGAAATTGGGTCATAGTCTTCAGAATAAAAAGTATAATCTTATAAATCACACACCTGAACTTCTGAGCCATTTAAAATTTTATAAGCCAGACTTTCCCAATCTGTAACCTGTTTGACTGTTTTCTGATCTGATTCTCCTCCTGCGTTCTAGGTAGAAAAACAGAACATCATTAGTTCTTTTCAGCTAATAGGCTAATTTATTTGAAAGGAAATCACTTCCAGCTTGGTCAGATCTGTCCTAGGGCCATGGCCAGTGTAAAAACAGATGCACAATCAGAAAAACATTGTGAATCTGTTCTCCTCTTCTGTACACAGCAGAAAATAGCTAGAACTGGTCATATATGCCCCTGTTCGAAATGCAGGTCAAAGATGCACTTGTGCACTAACCAAATCATCTATTAGATCACAAGTAGCTCTCACTCACTCAGGCATGTCTAAAAACACAGACAAATCCCTCCAGAGTGTGTTCAATGTAGAGGTTAGAAAAAGCGGCAGGTGACGTGATTAGAAGGGTGGTCTGTTTGACAGTAATTGAGCAACAAGAAGTCACAGTGATACTTGAGATAATTAAACTAATTGGAACAAAGTCCAAATAATGATGAACAATGAGATATATTCCTTTGCATTTAATCTTGCAAATTGTTCTGCCTAATGGAAAATGAGAATGTTCAAAATGACAGATTTGGGCTCTAATTCTCTCTAAGGGTCTCTTCACTAAACAGAAAATTCTTTGAGAAGCAGAACTAATGAAGCTTTTATTGGGTTTTTCTGCTCAATGATACCATCAGTCTTTGCAAAATGTGTAAGAACTGCTGATCTCTGAGACCTCTGTCCTTCTCAGATTAGATCAAAAGGAACACAACCAAAATTATAGAAAAAAGGAAGCAACAGAAGGACTGTCAGTTAGACAAGGCAATCATAAATGTCTGCACTATTTTTTTTTATTTTTATTTTTTAAGAGGGTTTGTAGAAATTGCCAAATGAAAAGCCAGTGTCGTAAATATGTATAGTCTGCATGATTTGGCAATATGGTTCAGAGATGATTTGGCAATATGGTTCATATTTGGCAATATGGCTCAGAGAGCCACAATGAGCTATTAAAAATATCTGTAGAGCAGAAAGAGTGTATCAGTGTAATCCTTCAATTCAGGTAAATAGCTTCATTAAGAGAGAAGTCGTAGCACTACGGTAACATGACAGTACTGATTTGGGGATCAAGGTTAGTACCTGTACAGTGCTGAGATCAGCTTATCGATCTCATGATATGGCAGCAGTTCTTTTAAAGATATCATCACTGTACTCTATAACAAAGAATAAATGTGCCCTCTGTTTCCTGCATTCTGATCCAATGGAAATGCTTTCTGCATCTGGTTTTAGTCACAATGTGTGAAAACATCCTTGATCATGAAAAATTTAGTAACTCTAAAAGCATCTACATCCATTCATGGATTTCATGTGTTAGACAAATATAAAAATCGCTAAACTAAAATCACTGAACAAGACTGAGCAGCGAGATCAAAAAGGATGTTTCTGAGCTGGGCCAGTCATCTCAAATCAAAACAGAACATAGCTATGGGGAAACCATTGGATAATAGGACAGTGAAGATAAGGGATAGTTTTGAAAGTCTCTTGTATAAATCAGAGATTCCTTAGCAGCCGCCTGTGGCTTTAAAAAACTCCTATAAAAAAAAAAAAAAGAGATTTACCATGTCAAACTAGACAAGAAGCCTTTTCAGGGCGATATCAAGATGTCAACAGCTATTGGAATCAATGCGAAATTTCCACATGAATAAGACGCAATTTCCCAAATTTACTAATCATCAAATTCATTTTGCCATGCTTCACTGACGTAAAATTGATGTCTATTCTAAGCTTTTGCTATGGTTAGGGAAGAGAGATAAGTACCTCCTGAGGATGATCACCACCACTACTACCACTACCCTTACACAGGGGTTTAAAATAGAATTCCATATATCACATTGATTTTATGCAGGGCTTCTGCTCTCTAGTTACTTCAACACTTTTGAGAATCTCTTTATGGGTAGTTAGGGTCTGGCGGCCGGAAGATGTGGCGCTGTACGGAAAGGTGGAGCCCCTCCCTTGATGGCCAGTAGCGTGTGGGCTGTGCTGTAAGCAAGCGAAGTGACGCTATGGGCCTCGGGTAGATAACCCCATGGGACTCGACAAGAAACGCCATTTGCCATCCACCACATTGGTGTCTGTGAGCCGATGGACCGAGCGGCCTGGGGTTGGTCGCCGTGCCGTTCCTGAACCAGGTCGCCACTGCCCCCTGAAGGCAACACTCTTTCTTTGGCAGTAATGATCAAATTATTGAAGAGCATGTCAAGATCTTAGTGAATTTATTTTCTTTTGCCTGTAGGCTGAAAATTAATGCCTAACCATTTTGTGGTACAATTCCAGGTATCTTTATTATACATGTATCTTTTACATCTTACATGCAGTTTATCCAAATTATGTCCTTAGAATCCAAGTGCTTAGTAAGATAAATCTGCACTGCGATTGTCTGAAGTGTTGTTCACTCCCTCTTCTTTTCCTTTTTTTTTTTTTTTTTTTTTTTTTTTTTAGGTACTGAGCTTTCTGAGCTGCTTGATGTTTTTATTTCCTTGGCTTCACTTACAGTTGGAAACCATTACCAGACAGATATGTCTGTATACTTTAAAAGCAATCAGGCTGTGGTTCAATATAACCTTCTACAGTTACTCATTGCATTATCAATCCGCTTTGCCTGAAACAAACTAGACTTAGTCCTCATGAATGTCATCACAGTTTGTTGCTGCATTACACAAGGAGAGCTTATTTGTCTTCATATGTTATGGGTGAAAGGATACTACCCAATTTAGCTGGGTCCTCATCCAATGATGCCTTAAAGATCAATAGCAAGGCTTCAGAATTGTATTAAATTGGAATTAGGATAGAACATATCTTGCCAAGTATAGAAGATACATACTTTGGGGAATTCGTGTTACTTAGTTAATGATGCATTGTGTAAATATATGCTTTCTTCTATGAATTTTACACATTTATTTTTTATTTTTTTTTACTTCTTATTTTAGGTTTTCTTCCCATACTAAGAAAAAATGATGAAGCATGGACATTCAGTTGACCTTTACTCTTTCACTTATTATTTATATATATATATCCTAATAATTCTTTGTAAGCTTAGTTTCGTATTTATCCTTTTTTTTTTCTTTTCAGTTGAGTGTCTTTCCACATTATTTGTTTTCCCTTTCATAGTCACCCACTGTTTTTAAATGCTGCTGTCTACCTGTGAATCTACCTATAGATGCTTGTCTTAATACAGTTTAATATCCTGTCTGTTTTGATATGTTGCATAAAGCAAACATGACGTTGACGTCTTCTCACTGACATCCATCTCTCTTCCCGACTGGTCATACCAACATAGAGTTTCCACATATCTTCAGCTCCCCCTTTCAATGTGCAGTTCTTTCACCTTATCTACACTTCATTTCACTGTAATATGGCCTGATTTATCAGCTACAGATATAGCATATTTATCCATTATGGTAGGATTAGTTATGCTTGTATTTTAGGCTAGACATGATAGATATTTTCCACTGTCTAGTTTTTCCTAGCCATAGTGACAAGCATTTAATATAATGGGGAAAAAATGATAGTCTTGCAGTTAAGACCCTCATTGAGACTCAAGAGCTGAAATCATATTCCATTAGGCATCTATACAGTAAGCAACAAAATGACATCTGTCGGTGCTGTAAGACAACAACAGAAACAAGCAATGCATAATCAAAGCAATTATCCAGCAGAAACAGAGGTCAGCATTATTACAAGTGTTGAAGGCTATTCACACAGAAGTAATAATTTGGGCAACTACTGAGAGCCAAATCTCATTTCTTAGGTACCTATTATTTTCTGTTAACTGAAGAGGGTTCCACGTTCCTAAAATTACACAGTGTTTGCAACCCTTCTTGTTGCAAAATATCCTAAATTAATTCATAGCTGGAACAAGTTCATGTGTGAGCTTCCACTGCTGCAAAAACATCCATCACCCTCTCTGTAACAATTATTACATTACCAGCTGGCCAAAGGTTCTCTGAAAAGTGAGAGCAAATGAAAGCTAAGCAGCACAGGCTAAATACTGTAAATGTCAGAATAATAGAAAACATCAGAAAGGCATTGCCTGATCATGTGAATGCACATCCATTCTGTAGTTGAAATGCCAGTCCCCAGCAGCAAAGAGTGCAGCAATTTTATAGCAGTGCAGCAGCAGGTGGTGCTCCAGCAGCCCCTTTCCCAGAGCACACATTGAGGAGCACTCTTTTCCAGTAGTAGCCCTCAGTGGTTACTTCTCTACATCCCGGTACTGTCCCAACAGATGTTATTCTTTAAATGAAAAGAGGATAGATTTAGGTTAGATGTTAGGAATAAATTCTTTACTCAGGCGGTGGTGAGGCACTGGCACAGGTTGCCCACAGAAGCTGTGGATGCTCCATCCGTGTAGGTGGTCAAGGCCAGGCTGGAGGGGGCTTTGGGCAACCTGGTCTGGTGGGAGGTGTCCCTGCCCATGGCAGGGGGATGGAACCAGGTGATGTTTAAGCTTTCTTTTAACCCCAACCATTACATGGTTCTGTGATTCTTGACAGCGTATCATGTTCAAGATATTGAGCAAGCCATGATAAATTTGTATTTCTATTTAGTATTTTGTAAAATGTATATTCCTAAAATTCTAGTTGCATTTACAGTGAAAATTAAAATACTTTGAATTGATAGTCTCATACAGAATTATTTCTTCCACCCAAATGGAGAACCATTCTCCTGCAAAAGCATAGCTATGTGCAAGCAAATTTCTCACTTTCAGGGAGCATGTATGATTGTGTTAGCATCATTTGCACCTTGCATAGCATCCTCCTGCAGGTCAGAAAGTTCATTGTGAGTAGCAATAGATTGCATTTTGGGTATCCGAGATGCTCCCAAAACTTTGTGGTTGCTTTATGGTAACTGCATACGTCTATATATCTGAGCTTTTACTGCACAGATATTGAGTTAAAAAAAATAAAACATGTAATGAAATCATTTGCATGAGTGGTAGAAATTCCCAGGAAATATTAAAAAAAAAAAAAATCCTACTGGACTTCATAAATAGCTTAGAGTAGATGAGTACAATCTGATGTACAGAAGAGAGATGTTTCCAATTCGAGAAAAAAATCCCATTTAAGGAATTTAATGTAATTTAGGAAACTATGATATGCTTTGATCATCCCTTATTGAACTTGTTACAGAGAGAAAACATGTTATCTTTCAGCAGCTTGCTGAAAGTGGGCCCATTTCTACTTTCATGACAGTGGGGCAGGGGATGGTTCTGCTCTGGAAAGGAAGGGGAGGGAGGGAAGTTGGAATAGGGATGAGGAAAGGCAAAAACAAAGGACTTTGTTCCTGCTGGACATGCAGCCAGGCAGAGTTTGCAAATGCACTCTTGTTTCTATACACTATGAGCTATTGTGCTATGAACAAGCATACTACAATACCAAGTGATTCAGGTTCTGGACACTGGTGGACATTTTGCTGCTGGAAAGTTGTAAAATTAGTCACTTGTTCAGCTGCAAGAACAACAGCATTAAAATGTTTCATCTTATAAAAACTAGTAGCAAACTAAAATACTAAAAACTGTGCCTGTCCTTCAATTCAAGCTGAACTTCCAGAGCTTGAACTTGAAGACGGTGACAGGATTTGCCCTTTTTCTATACAGTTTCCAGAAGGACAAGATATAATTCTTTCCTCAGATGGCACAAATATGGAACTAAACTGTCACATTGGCTTCAGATCATCTAGGTCAATTTCATCTTTAGGGAGCATATTCTTCACTGATGAAGAAGAACAAAACAGGCAAGGAAGAAGAGGAGGTGAAGTGGGAATTTACAGAAAGAGCGTAAGCTATGGCTTTGCTCCTCTGTGACTTCAAGGCTGTTTTTGTTAGTGGCAAGGAAACTCTTGCATGCCTAGGCAGAACAAAAAATGGCCAGGGATACAGATATTCTTAAAGAACAAGATAGGTGTATGGACTAGAATGTACTAACAACCCCGTATTTTGGGGCAGGAAGAATCAGGAACTAGCCCACTCCTTTTGCTACAATATTGGAATCTGCTGAGGTAAAGGTACATCCAGGTGCATTCTCAATACTTACAGCTCTTGTATAGTTTGCAGCTGAACACATCAAATTAGAGCTAATGAAGAAGTTACTGTCCTCAGTAGGACTGGACTGTGAAAGCCCCTATCCTGATGTATATTTTACTTTAACTGGAGTAGAAGATTCAAAACACTATGACTAGTGTCTTCCCAAACCCTGTGTTACCCACAGAGAGAAGCATATGCAGAAGGTGCTATTGAAATTAGTCTTAAAAAAAAAAAAAAGCATTACTTTCAACAAGCAACAAAAAATAACCAAGTAAAGCTAGATGGTCTCTTGGCTCCACCCTTGTGAAGTGAAACCTGCCAGGTGTGGATCATTTGACTTTTGGTATATAGGAAGCCTGAGGACTTGTGGGGAATTGCCTTCCTGGTGGGGAGTTTGAGGCTCAGGTTCTCTAGGGTGCTTTTCTGCTGTTGTGGTGAAGCGGATTCAGTGTTCCCTGGTGGGCTGCTTTTTCTTCACGTTTTCTCCCATCTCTGTGAAATAGTTTCAGTGACTCTATGAGTTAGCGATGTTGTTGTTGCCCTCTCAGTGTGGTGAGACCCTGGTGGTGCAAAGTCACTGTGAAGCAGTGTGGAAGTGACTCAAGTTCAGGAGCTGGCAGGTAAGTGTTCCTGGGTTCTACAGTTCTTTAATGTCGAGGAGTTTGAGTACATCCTTCACCTTGTCTGTTTTCAGTGAAATTACTTCCGTGGCTTCTAAGCTCCCTTTCAAGCTCTTCCAAATATAATGATAATGAAAGCTAAGAAGAAAGCCCCACCAACTCAGAAGCTCAAGTGCTTACAGGTAAGCCTGACTTTGGAGAATGTTCTTAACTATTTGTTAGGATTCGACAACAGGCACTGTGGAAAAAGGTGCCTTAATGTGCACTCAAATTATGCCTTGCGGTGAGTAGAAACCGATGGGGAAGGTACTGGTGCAGTTAGCTCATAACTTTCACTAAGTGGAAGTTGCGAGACTATGCTGTTCCTAAAAGAAATGCCGCTTTCACAAGATGTAAGTCAAAAGAAGTATGAAAAAAGCCTCTCCTCTCCCCTACAGGCCTGCGTCTCGGCTGTGGAGAAAGATTTGGAAGATCGCGCCGAGGTCACATCGCGGAGGTTCCCGCGCCGAGGTGTCGTGGTTTAACCCGGCCGGCAGCTAAACACCACGCAGCCGTTCGCTCACCCTCCCCCCTCCCTCTCTGGGACGGGGGAGAGAAATGGAAAGTGAAGCCCGTGAGTTGAGATAGACAGTTTAATAAGACAGGAAAATTGTTGCAGGAAGCACGGCCGAAAGCACGACAGACACCAGTAGAGTCAGATCATGCTCCTCCATTTTATTGCCCGAATAGCCTAACTTTTATAGAGAACTTAACAGGGGTGGACAGTGTCCCACACAAGATTATTGGTCAAAAGCACTCAGACAAACAACTGCAAGAAAACAACCCCACCTGCAAGAAAACAACCCCTTTGTGATTAGCAGTCGCATAGACCTTGTCCTTGAAGTCAGCTACTGGTAACAATATTTTTCTGAGTTCCTCAATTGGGCGATGTGGGAACACTGTCATGGGAACTTCTCATAGTTGCCCTGGTAGCTTGGTTTGCTCAGCTACAGCAAGCCATGGGATTTTTGCTGTTTCAAGAAATCCCTCAACAGAAAATAATAATAACAATAATAATAATAATACAATGGTGATAATAGGAAAGTAATAATAATATGTACAAACAAGTGATGCACAATGCAATTGCTCACCACTCGCTGACCGATGCCCAGCCTAACCCCGAGCAGTCCGGCCCCCTCCCCCCAGCTAGCCACCCCTATATATTGTTTAGCATGACGTCAGATGGTATGGAATACCCCTTTGGCTAGTTTGGGTCACCTGTCCTGGGTCTGTCCCCTCCCAGCTCTTACTGCAGCCCCAGCCTGCCCGTTGGCAGGACAGAGCAAAAGGCTGAGATGTCCTTGGCTTAGTATAAGCACTGCTCTGCAACAATTAAAGCATCGTGGTGTTATCAGCACTCTTCTCATCCTAAGCCAAAACACAGCATTCCACCAGCTGCTAGGAAGAAAATTAATTCTATTCTAACTGAAACAAGGACACGAGGTCCCCACGCTGAGGTCCCCACGCTGAGGTCACAGTGATGAGGTCCCCACGCTGAGGTCACAGTGCTGAGGTCATAGTGCTGAGGTTCCCACGCTGAGGTCACAGTGCTGAGGTCACAGTGCTGAGGTTCCCACGCTGAGGTCAGAGTGCTGAGGTCAGAGTGCTGAGGTACCCACGCTGAGGTCACAGTGCTGAGGTCACTGTGCTGAGATCCCCACGCTGAGTTTCCCACGCTGAGGTCACAGTGCTGAGGTCACAGTGCTGAGGTTCCCACGCTGAGGTCATAGTGCTGAGGTTCCCACGCTGAGGTCATAGTGCTGAGGTCACAGTGCTAAGGTTCCCTCACTGAGGTCACAGTGCTGAGGTTCCCACGCTGAGGTCAGAGTGCTGAGGTACCCACGCTGAGGTCACAGTGCTGAGGTCACCGTGCTGAGATCCCCACGCTGAGGTTCCCACGCTGAGGTCACAGTGCTGAGGTCAAAGTTCTGAGTTTCCCACGCTGAGGTCCCCACGCTGAGGTCACAGTGCTGAGGTCACAGTGCTGAGGTCACAGTGCTGAGGTTCCCACGCTGAGGTTCCCGCGCTGAGGTCACAGTGCTGAGGTTCCTACGCTGAGGTCAGAGTGCTGAGGTCACAGTGCTGAGGTCACCGTGCTGAGGTCCCCACGCTGAGGTCACAGTGCTGAGGTCACAGTACTGAGGTCACAGTGCTGAGGTTCCCACGCTGAGGTCACAGTGCTGATGTCACAGTGCTGAGGTCACAGTGCTGAGGTTCCCACGCTGAGGTCAAAGTGCTGAGGTTCCCACGCTGAGGTCACAGTGCTGAGGTCACAGTGCTGAGGTCCCCACGCTTAGGTTCCCACGCTGAGGTCACCACGCTGAGGTCACAGTGCTGAGGTCACAGTGCTGAGGTCACATTGCTGAGGTTCCCACGCTGATGTCACAGTGCTGAGGTCACAGTGCTGAGGTTCCCGCGCTGAGGTCACAGTGCTGAGGTTCCCACGCTCAGGTTCCCACGCTGAGATTCCCACGCTGATGTCCCAGTGCTGAGGTTCCCACGCTGAGGTCACAGTGCTGAGGTCACAGTGCTGAGGTCACAGTGCTGAGGTTCCCGCGCTGAGGTCACATCGCTGAGGTCACACTGCTGAGGTTCCCGCGCTGAGGTCACATCGCTGAGGTTCCCGCGCTGAGGTTCCCGTGCTGAGGTCAAAACGCTGAGGTTCCCGTGCTGAGGTCACAGCGCTGAGCGCACATCGCTGAGGTTCCCGCTGTGAGATCACACTGTTGAGGTTCCTACGCTGAGGTTCCCACGTTGACGTGACACTGCTGAGGTTCCCACGCTGAGGTTCCCGCGCTGAGGTCACATCACTGAGTTTCCCGTGCTGAGTTTCCCGCGCTTAGGTGACATCGCTGAGGTTCCGGCACTGAGGTCACATCGCTGAAGTTCCCGCACTGAGGTCACATCCCTTAGGTGACATTGCTGAGATTCCCGCGCTGAGGTTCCCACGCTGAGGTCACATCACTTAGGTGACATCGCTGAGGTTCCCGCGCTGAGGTCACATTGCTGAGGTTCCCACGGTGAAGTCACATCGCTGAGGTTCCCACGCTGAGGTAACATCACTTCGGTGACATCGCTGAGGTTCCCACGGTGAAATCACATCGCTGAGGTTCCCGCGTTGAGGTCACATCACTTCGGTGACATCGCTGAGGTTCCCGCACTGAGGTCACATTGCTGAGGTTCCCGCGCAGACATGACACTGCTGAGGTTCCCACGCTGAGGTCACATTGTTTAGGTTCCCGTGCTGAGGTCACAGAGCTGAGGTTCCTGCGCTGAGGTTCCCACGCTTTGGTCACATCGCTGAGGTTCCCGCGCTGAGGTGCCCACGCTGGGGTCCCATCGCTTAGGTGAAATTGCTTAGGTTCGCGCGCTGAGGTCACATCGCTGTGGTCACATCGCTGATGTCACATCGCTCACACAGGGGCCTTGGATGCAGGTCCCATGGACTGTTAAGGGTGTAGTTTGCAAAGTAACCACTGATTTTATCCTCACTGATGACCTGTTGTACCCCTGCAGAGTCCGGTCTCAAGGCACAAAGGGCAGGGAGACCTGGCTGGTGAGAGCTGAGGCCCTGTGGAGATGTCCGAGACACAACAGCGTTACAGCCAAGGGCCGTGTAGAAGAGAAAGGAAAATGAGAACATTTAAAAGAGAACAGAATAGGTTTAGCTCTGCCTGTGACACATGACTCCTTTTGCTCTGCTGACAGCCTCTGCATGCTGACCTACACGTAAGGAGTAGGGACAGGTTCAGTTGTCCTACATGTGGCATCTGCTGCCATTTCAGTTGGCCTGAGGAATGCCCCATCAGATTCCCAGAGGATTAACCTCAAATTTCAGCAGGTATTTCCATCCGAACAGCTCCTGCCTGTCCTCCATCTCCACTAAGGAGCCATTGTGGCTCAATAATTCGCATTAAGGTGCCTATGTTGTGGACACCTGAACTGAGGCCTGAGGAATCCCAGCTCCTGTGGGTCTGTGGCAGATAAGGGCGGGAGCTGAGATCCCTTTCCAGCCCCAGGAATGACAACCAGCATGAGATGCCTTGACTGACTCTGCTGAATTCTTTCCTTAAGTGGGGATGAAGGAGATCAGTCCCTTACCATGACTTGATGTCGAAACTGATACTGGGACAAGAAGATGTGATTGTTACGCATAATTAGTGTTCCGTAAGGAGAAATGAGCCTGCTGTCAAGAAGTGTGTCTGCCCAGGGGAGGGAGGGAAGCCCAGGGATCCCTTCAGGCTGTTTCCCAGCAGGTTCCCCTGCAGCCCCAGGGCCATGTGCAGGGAGCCTGGTGGGGGGCAGAGCAAGGGAGGCCTTGGGCTGGGCCTCTGCTGCTGAGCTGGGCCGGGCTCCTGGGCCCAAGGGGAGCTCCTGGCAAGCGGGCAGCGCTGCAGAGAGACAGCTCTGCCCAGGAGCAGCTCCTCTGCACAGCGCAGCAGGGCTGGGGGCACTGCCTGCAGAGACACAGTGCTTAAAGGCAGGCAGAAGTGGCAGCATGCCCAGAGCTCCCTGCGGGAGAAGACTTCCCAGCCCTGCACCCGGTAAGTGTCTGGCTGGAGGCAGGAGAAGCCGGGGGTGCAGGCAGGGGTGTCCAGGGCTGTGGTGCAGAGCAGGGTCCCTGCTGTGGCCCAGGGGCTGTGTGCCGGGGCAGGGCCTCTGCCGCCTGCCAGGCTCAGCACTCAGCCTGCCCGGGGAGCTGCCCAGGGCGCTGCGGGGAGAAGCTGCGGGTGGAAGGAGCCCCCCCTGGCAGGGCAGGGTCCTGCTGCTGGTGGGAGGCTGCTGCCTGGGGCAGCCTGCTCACAGCTCCACAGCACAACCAGGGTGTATCCAAAGGGACTTTGCAATGTCTTGGATATGGTATGGGATTTAGACTACAGTCTCAGCTTTCCTGAGTCTCCTGAACTTTCAATCCCCTCTACTTTGGCTTGGTGGTAATACAAACAGAAACAGTTAATCCAAGAAGAGGCTGAGACTCCATGATGAGTTGAGAGGCCATCATAAGGAGGGATAAAAGGACCCTTTCCTGCCCCTCAGCCCCTTGAATACTCCACCACCACACATGCACTGTTAGCAGGGTCTGTGTGAGCTGGGCTCTAGGATGTGCCCCCAGTGTGCTGCCGCTGGGCAGAGCCCTGCTGCCAGGAGGTGTCTGCAGGTGTCACGTTAAAGGGGTGTAGCTGATTAACCGTTACGGGCCCGGTTGGATTCAGAGTACTGAACCAGTCGGACTTTCACCAAAAACACATTAACGGTCTGGGGGTCCATTCGGACATTCACCAAAAATGTAATAACCGCCTGGGGGTCCGCTCAGACATTCACCAAAAATGCATTAACCGTCTGGGGGTCTGGTTAGATTCAGAACACTGAACTATCACGGATAACCACCCTCACCCTAGTTGCATTAATGAGAGCTATCACAATGCAATCAAGTATGGTTTATTACAGCAACAGATAATCAGGTTCTTTTGGATTGCCGGCGATAGTGACTGTCTGCGAAAGCAAGCTAGTATGCATGAAATACACAGGTGTTATAGGTGTTACAGATGTTATAGGTGTTGTAGGTGTTACA